TTTTTTTATTAATAAACGAAAAGTTTTAAAGGAAAATTGCTAGAGAGGTAAAAGTTTCTAAAAGAACCAGTTTATCTAATACGTATTTTTGGATATCGAGTTTTTACGAAATATAAAAGTTATGGCAAAAAATGGCTTGAGGGGTGGTTACTTCAACCTCTTTCGAGGGGTTAAAATTTTCGAAAAATAGTTGAAAACTCGCATTTGTATTAGTAAACAACCTGTAAAAAATTTGTTATTTGTGTTCGGTTTTCAAATTACAGTCAATTTTCATAATTTTTTTGGAAACTTTGATGGTCCATATCTCTTCAGGGGTGAACATTTTACTAAGGCGATTTTTTTGCAGATCGTGTTCTTTTGAAATGTAGATTCACTGGTATCATTAATGCTACTCCATTCAAAAACACCCTGTATATGACAACAGACTGTCCTTCACTTATTATATCAATATAATTATAAATGCGTAGAAATTCAAGTTCCTTTAATAACTTCACTGCATTGAAATGACTGTTTTACTCATTAATTCGTTTTAAATTAGAATATTTCAGTCTTATATGGTATCCTTATTATCAGATACATACTAACAAGCTTGAAAAAGTTCAACGTCGTTTTCTTACATTTTGAAACTTTCCAATAATTGATGGTTATTATCCAAATAGAGAATAGGACCATAGACTGCTGTTAGATCGATTCAAAATGCAGCGTTTGCAGACTAGAAGAATACTCAATAATCTTTGTTATTTAAACTTTTTCATGTCAGTGTTGACTCAGCATATCTACTGGGTTCCTTCAAGACACGAGTTCCTAGACATGGGTCTCGTGCTGATTGCGTGTTCTATTGTGGCAATGTTAAAACCATCATACTTCTTAAATCTCCCATCTATGGCATGGAAAATAATTATAATTTAATATACCGGGTGTTAAAAAAAGAGTGTAAAATATTTAAGGAGGTAATAGTATGAACCAAAATAAGCAGAAAAGTCTCAATAAACATGGGTCCGCAAAGTAACGGTTGCGGAGATATGGAATGTTTTAATGTTTTTAACCCCTTTTTTTATTTTGCAAAAACGTTGTGTATTTTCTTATAATAGTTGGTTGATGTTTAGTGAATTAAACAGTACGTATTTGACAGTTGTTCTCAGTGCACGAGTTTTCTTTCACTATGGCTGGTTACTCTAAAGCAGAATTAACAGACATGCATTTGATGTATGGTCGTGCTAATGGGAACGCCACCGAAGCGCGACGTCTTTATGTTGACGCTTATCCAAATCGCCAGATTCCTTCACAACGCATGTTTGGAAGAATTCACCAAAGATTACGTGATACCGGTTCCTTTAGCAAACAGTGCCATTTATTCGGAAGACCAAGGTCGGTATCCACTCCTAGAGCAGAAAAAGAAATTCTAGCACTGATAGAGCAGAATCCAGGTACGAGTGTGCGGAGAATATCAGCTGAGGTAGGAATTAGTGGCCCTCTTGTTTGGAGAATCCTTCACGAGCAACTGCTTTATCCATACCATGTGCAATGAGTATAGACCTTAAATCTAATAAATGATCATCAAGCACGTTTGGTTTTTTGCCGCTGGTTTCTACGTCATGATGCTGAAGACCCTCGTTTTCTTGCAAACATTCTTTTTACTGATGAGACCGGGTTCACAAGAAATGGAGTGTTTAATTTTCACAATACACATATTTGGGCCGACGAAAATCCTCATGCTCTAATAGAATCTGGACATCAGGCACGTTTTTTATTAAACATTTGGATGGGTATTGTAGGTGACAGGTTTCTAGGTCCTGTTGTTTTACCAAACCGATTAACAGGCGCTGCTTACCTCAACTTTCTGCAGAACACACTGTATGAGTTTTTGGAAGACATTCCCTTGAATCAGAGGCAACAAATGTGGTTCCAGCATGATGGTGCTCCAGCTCATTTTTCCATGGCCGTTAGAGAGCATTTACACCAAACTTTTCCACATAGATGGGTAGGAAGGGCCGGACCTGTTTTATGGCCTCCAAGATCGCCTGATCTGAACCCTCTAGATTTCTTTGTTTGGGGATATTTGAAGACATTAGTGTATGGTACTCCTGTAAATAGCCTGAAAGAGCTGCAGCTACGGATTAATCAAAAGCGTCAGAAATCCAAACCAAGGAGGGTGTTTTCGAAAGCTTTCGAATATCGTTGAGACGAAGATGTCGTGCCTGCTTGGAAATGGACGGAGGGCACTTTGAACATCTTCTGTAACTTTGTTTTTTGTTTGTTAAAAGCTTCTTTTGTCGGTTTATTCTTAATAAAATAAAATGTTTGAAAAACGAATAGTGGTCCATATCTCCGCAACCGTTACTTTGCGGACCCATGTTTATTAAGATTTTTCTGCTTATTTTGATTCATATTATTACCTCCTGAAATATTTTACACTCTTTTTTTTAACACCCTGTATATGCAGTGATATAAACCAATGTACCATAAATAATTTGTTATCAGTAGCAACTGAATTTTCTAATTTACTGATACTGTAGAAAATAGAACGTATTTTGTAGTCTATATATCTATGTGTATTTATTTAGAATTATGATATTTTATATTTTTAATGCGTATACTTGAATGTCCATACTTTTTTGTCTTGTAATTAGAACATTTGTTCTGTTGGGCAATAAATGCATTGTTATTATTATTATTATTATGCATTATTATTATTATATTAGACATTATTCCGCCATGCTTTGATTTTCTTACACATTCCCATTTTCTAAGGCCTCGTACGGCTCTTAAGATTTCAAATGTAGCAGCCTGTAAATTATCATCAAAATCTAACCGAGTATCCCTTAAACCCACATGGCGTTCAAGAGTGGAGCAGTCATACCGGGTTTCTCTTATTCTCACATTTAGTTGGTTAAATAAATCATTCCCGGATGACGGAAATAGAGCAGCGGTAAAATATGGGCTGGAAATTAATGCGTCGGGTAACATCAACATTTTAACGGTGGCAATGAAACTGGCGAATGTAATTTGGGGACGTTTTATAAAAAGTGCACAATGAAATAAACCATTTCCTTCAGTTCAGAAACTTGCTAGTTTGAAACTGGGTCGAGCAAAATTTGAAATGTTGCGTTTAATCATTTACAATCGCCTTGGGGAATGCTTAATGCTATACTCATTTAATTCTTTAGTTGTCTGGTTGCCGTTTTAAAAACTACGGTAATAGACGAGTATTAAGTTTTGTACCAGAACAACACTCACAATTAATATTGAAACAATGGAACTCAAAAAAATTCACAACCGAATCAATAATCAAAATTATTAAAACTTATTGGGAACCCCTGAAATCTTACCCGGCTACATACTACATAAAAAGAGATGAATAGTTGTAGCCAAATACGGAATATCCCGTTTTCTTGGTAGGAAACAGAAAGATTGCAGGTTCAGTCTTAGTTAATCTTCAGTTTTACGTTAGTTGTTGACAGATCTTCTACCGTGAAAACAAATATGTTAAAGTGACATCATTTATTCTTCTAAATTCTTATGGAAAATATGAAACCGGTGAAAATCTGCAAGACAGTTGCACATTTTTGTGTATTTCCAAATAAGCATACAACAGTTGCAAACGGAGACAGAGCAATGGGGGGAGTCAGCGGTTCCAAAACTTTTTCATCATATCAATGTGATAAGTCACAAGATATTAAAAAAACACTATTTGCAAAAAATATTTCCAACATTCAAGCCTTTGCGCATCAATTCTCATCTCATTCTCTTCAAATATTCTCTTGTAAACACCCTGTATTATTTTAATTGCAAGTATAATAAAACATTTGATCAGTAGGTACAACAATATTTAATGAATTTATGGACAAATGTTAACAATAGATAACGTAATTTTATTTCACTTGCTTAGTATATAGGGTAGTCTCTTTAAAATAATAGTTGTTTGCCTTATAAACATAGGTCTGGAACGACTTCATTTTGGGATAAAGTATGTAGAAATTGTACAAAAATTGATTTTCTGTTTATATCTCATCTCCCGAATCTATTAACCGATTTCTATAAATTTTGGTACAAATAATACATGATATTAGGCCTTGCATTCCATAAAATATGAACTCTAAAGGTTCGACCAGTGGCGTGCAATTAGACAGGGGTCATCCCTTCTTTTATAAAAAAACTATGCCACTGCATTTTTTACAATGTTACAACAGTTTTATATTCTAATCCAGAAAATAAAAAGGTAAATTAATTTTTTTCCTTAAGATTCGCCGTTCTCAAGTTATGCCTATCAATATAATCCCCTTGTGGCAGACATTTTGATTATAATATTCCAAGAATATTTATGTTTATGCGGAAAAGTAAGTGCAATCAACAAAATTATTTCCTTTCATTTTTTCCACACCACCTGCGAGGTTATTGAGATCGGTTAAGATATTCCGAAGATCAGAAACAAAAAATCACTTTTTTACAATTTCAACACCCTGTATTTTCAAAATGAGGCCGTTCCAGACCTAGTTTTACAAGACAAACACCTACTATTTTAAAGAAATCTATCTGCCTTCGAAGTGTCCTGCATAAAATTCGGACCACCCTGTATAATAAAGGATGTACAAATTATCGTCATTGAACGTTATAGAGTAACAGATATTAAGTAAATAGAATGCTTTTATTTGTGGTATGTTTATAATGGAATAATTTTTAATTGAAAAATGTGTATTTACTGTAAAAACCCATTAGCAAAATGAGAAATGGTTTTAGTGGAACTGCCAGGAAATGTTGTACTCACTGCATGACAAACAGTTCACCCTGTACTCGTGCAGCTGGCCAAGTCATAGCACCAATCCCAACTTACGTATGTACCTATCCCAGTGGTGGTGTACTAATTTCTTGGAGGAGTATTTATAATCGTTACTGAAAGTCTATTATTTTTGCTATAGACTTAATATTTTAATACTTGATATTGATTTGATTTAAAATATAACATAATATAAATTATGTAACGTATGCATTTTTCATAATAATTTAAACTTAAATAATATGTTGCAACAATAATATTTTATGTTTCGTTTAAAATAAACCCAAATTGGATCTGTAAATATTGGTAACAAACACATTAACTTTTTATTATTACTTTTCCATATTCAAGAGAATTCAAGAGAATTATAATGTTATGCCAAGTGGATAAACTGTATAATAATAATGGTAAGCATAATATTTAAATACAAAATATATAATATAATATATTAAATATATCATGTAGGTACATTGAATATTTTATATTCTCATGTCGGTAATGTAAAAGTTGATACTAACCAGAAATTTTTATTATACAGGCTGTTTCTGAAATAAGGGCGTTCCTCGGAAAGGGTGATATAGGACATGAAAATGAGCTACTTTTATTAAGCAACTGATAGTCTAAATGCTGCTGTTTTAGAGAAAATTAATCAAGAAAATTAACCATAAATGTAAGCCGACCCTGTGCATCTTGTGCACGTGCACGGCCAGAATGTTTTTGACTCGCTACATGCGTGAAGCGCTTCTCTAATTGGCTGACGTTCTACGTGACTTCTACAATCAAGCAAATCTGATAATCACATCCTACAGATATGCTCTCGGAACGGATGAGTCAACAGTAATTTTTGAAAAGTTAAGGGTTTTCAAGTAGGTTTAGCGTCGCTATAAAGTCGTTGAGAAACTGGTGCCTCTTGTCATCGGGTGTAATAAATTTGCAAAGCTCGACCAACGCAGTCCTTCGGAGAAGGTCTCATGAAATTTAGCAATGATTTTGAACAAGTAGACTTAGATCGTCGGGGTCATGTGTTGGACATCTGTTATCGACTAACTGCGTCCGTTTAGCCCATGGTGAAGGGAAAAATCGATATTTCTAATAACGCGTGAAATATATTCGAAAAGACGTAGGAATTCCAAGATACTTAAATAAGTTGTTAGAATGTTGTGAGGAAAATAATAATAGATCAAATAGCTGGTTTTTAGGCGGATTTTTCAAGCTATAAGAATAGATTAAATGAGATTGACTAATCCATCCCGTATTGCTATACGGAGTCACAAGAGGAAGGTGTAGGGTTACTTGTAAGTTCAGATTAGTCACAAAATTATCCATACAATTGTAAATACAGTTAATTAGGTATTAACATGATATAGTTAAGCCATTTCAACCCTCGATATTCAGGGATCCCGCCAATAAGATAAGCACCGAAACTTCTGTACTCAAGAAATGGTCGTGTCGAAGAGAGGTGTCGAATTCAGGAGAGATCTTCGAAGAAATGGCAGTTTCTCCTTGGGTTCCACACTAAGCAGTTTTCTTCATTTTAGAGTACCGGGTTAATTCACTAAGGGATAAAGTGTTTCCAAATTTTGCTACGAATTCGCGTTGGGTTCCCTGAATCTCGTATTGCGTTATCGCGTGTAAATTAATTAATAATGTTTGTTCGAAACAGTTGTGTTTTCGTTATTTTGTTTGTCCGTTTTGTTTTTATTGTTATTAAAAACCTTCCTCGAAGTTTTGGTGTTTTATTGCTCTTCCAAATTAAGTGTCCATCAAGTGAGAGTGGAACACCAGGTACAACCAACACCTGGACTATACTCAGCGTGAGCGACGTACGGTAAGTGTCTAAAATTCATTCTCTGAACGTACACAAGTAGATGATAATTATAAACTCCCTTTCGAGAAGTAAATGGTAAACTCTTTTGCAAGTTAATATCGTTATGATATTGGTCATAACGGTAGATGGTTAAATAAAGAAATAACCCCTCTGGTTACAAACGGTTTTCAGTGAATGTGTGGTGTGGTGTAAATTTAGACCGTCAAAACCGCTATCAGCGCTTTCGTATTGCGGAGCGCGGCAACTTCGATCTCAAAGGTATAGCTGGATGCCGCACCAAGGACGGTTTTAAATTTGTTTAAACCTCCAAGTAATTTTGTTTTACAATTTAAAACGTAATGTTTTAGACCATCTGTTGCTTAATAAAAGTTGCTTATTTTCGTGCCCTATGTCATTATTTTCAAGGAACACAACTTATTTCAGAAACACTCGATGGAGTCGAGGTTTGTCGAGAAGTTGATCAGCTGATGAAGAGAGGCGACTTCACCAACCCATCATAACCACTTACCTGGGGAAATACAGCCTGACGATCTCTCCCTCTTCGCCCTGCATAAGATATGTACAACTGGTGTGCGGCGGGTACCAATGCGCCACGGACAAGAAGATGCCCTCCGAGTCCCCCGATGCCCTCAGACTCTCTGAGGACAGCAGCCAGTCGCAGGTGCCGTTCCTGCTACCCGCCGTGTCCACGTGACCCGGCCAGTTGCCCACGTTAAAGTGGAATCCCGTGTTCAGCAGGGGCCCTGGAAGAAAACGCCACATAAGTGGATTTGGTGTGATCCCATGCGGAAAGGAAATTGAAAACTAATATGAAAAGCACTTTGAATCATACTTTGTTATTAGATTACATTCAATATTGGCGGATCACTGACTGAATTCCTATCGTATCCCAGGTGTCTTTTGTTCGGTAAGACGCATGCGGATTGGGTAGGTATAATATTTTTTAATAACATTTCGATGCTTTTATTTCCTATTGTACTCGTACTTTTACCTTACCCTAAGGAACACGAGAAACTTAGGAACTTAGGCCAGGAAAATAAGCTGGGAAATTACCATTTCGCGACTTTTTGTTTAGGCAAGCTGAATTTATCACTATAGATGCTAAAAATATTATGTACAATAACATATTAGTTTCCACAGTCATAAAAATGTGGAGAAGATTGTTTACAGGGTGGTTAATTGTATAATTTTTACGTAAATTCACGTTTTTCGCTTATAACCCTTTTCCGTTCCACAAGAAAATAGTGAAGTACTTTTTTTTCGTTTCAAAAGACCTACAAAACTATCCCTCGAGCATCAAAAAATTGATTAGATCAAAAGTTATAAATAGAAGAAGTTTATTTATGACTTTTGAATTAAACATTTATAAACTACGCAGTTTACCAGAAAGTTTTGGCATCGCATCCTCTCATTCCTTATCACTGTCTAATAACTCACACGAAATCTGAAATCGGTAAGTTGAATAGTTTACAAGTTATAGCCTTATAAACAAATTAACTAATCTAGTCTGCACGATCCCCATGATCTTCCACAATCGCACTGATTTTTTTCATGGTAGATTTCATAATAACACATTGTAATCTGTCATTTTTTAAAATTTAAATTTGCAACCTGGAAAATATTTTTATTTTTTAGCCTTAGTTGCAAAATGAACTATACGACGCACGAGCGTGATATACATATTACATATTCGGAAAGCTTATGAAAAGTTTTAAGTTAAAAAAAAATCGTCAAACTTCGTTGAAAAACAACGGAGTTAGAGACTGTCAAAGTTGACGGCCTATTGTTAAACAAATTATGTTGGTAGCCGCAAAAAAAATACTGTCATAACCGGCAACCCGAGTACTTTCCCAGATAAAAATATTTTATTTGTGGAAGTATGTTAAGTGCATAAGAAATATTATCAAAAGTCGGTGGGTCGCGAAAATTGGAAATAAGTACTTTGTGTAACAAGATCGTATCGGAGGATTTCCTAATTCTCATCACAATGCGCGGATCGCCCGAAAAATGTTGCCCTTGTTTTTGTAAGCGAATGGCAATTGTCCATTCTGGGAGACAGGTTTTGTTAAAAAACTTCATTGTGTTCACCGGTTAATTTTAGCTACACATATTCACTTTTCGCAACGGGGGATAATCTGATTACTTTTTACTGGACTCCGAATCCGAAAGGCTTTTCGAATGTTTCGTTTATTTTTTTGTAGAACGATGAGCTACAACGCTGATCCCTGATACACTGCTTTGGTTTTCGGCCTTGTTAATATACTTTACAGGTACAAAAGGAGGAGTTTATTCAAACTGGAGAGTTTTTTTGCTTTTATTTCGTCTAGAATATAAAATCCGACTGATATGCATGGTCTGATAAAAGTACATATCAAGTAACTTGTTGAATTTGGATGAATTGAACTGTATTCAGGAAAATGCATGCTAGATTAGAAATTATTGACGTTGGTATAGTCCAATAGACAGAAGTTCAGAAGTGGTAGGTATAGTTTTTTCTGTTTTTTACAATATCTCAACTGGATAGCAGACTGAGAAGAAAATGCAAACGATAATTTTTGTTTTAAATGAAATTTTATACGAGATAGCATAGCACCAATTTTTTTATTGCAAAAATAAATTTGCAAAAATAAATTTGAAATTAACAAAAAGTTTTTCTTAAAATTGTTGTAAATTTTCTAAAAATTAATAGAACGTTTGAAAAATATTCTTTAGTTTATGCAGCTCCAGAGACCCGCTATCAGACAGATGAGTCGTTGCTGATATGAGTTATTAACAGTTATACATTATACTTACCGTAAACTTTGAAATGATGGTAAAATTTTTCTAGATCTTGATGAGTATTTACTACTTCAAGAATCAAATGCATTTTGCAAAATTTATTTTTCTGCTTTTGAAGAGGTTAAAATATAAAAATTTATTTGTGTAAGTAACTCCGGACAGTCAATTTTGTGGCTTCTTCGAAACTCCAAACAATTAAAATTATACTTCCTTAAAAGAAGACTATTCTCAATTCCTCTCTCCAGATGTTCAGGTAGCGTGTTTAAATGACAAAATAATTTACATTTGTTAACATTAATATCAACCTTGTTCAATTGTGCATCAATTAGTAACTTTACTAAGCTTATGTTGAAGTAGACAATAATTAGTTGATGTAAGTCAACAATTCACAATCTAGCTAACAAAAATCATTAATAAATAATAGAAACGATGAAGGGCCGAGATCAGATCCCTGCGGAACTTCCGACGACGGCGACGCTGCATGTTAATGACCTATAACCATTATACGATACAATTTGTGTCCTTGAAAAATTGTAGCAAGTTTTCAGTAACACTTTTTTTTTGTTTTTATTGTTGTTTTTGAGCACAGTGGGCCAGGAGGTTTCATACATTAAAAGAGAAGGTTAAAAAAATTCTTGCGCTATTTTTTTATTTTTCTGTCTATTGATTCGAAGGAACAGAATTTAGTACCCTTCGGATTCTTTGTGTAATTCCAATTTCACTTTTTAAGTTATTTAATTGTTTTTTGTGTCAGTGTGAGGTTATTAATCCCTTACCTGCAGGTGATGACACAAACTCCACAAACAGGTCCTGCGACGTACCTATGATGGAATAGGGAAACTTTCCCATCCCACAGAAGGTCCCTATAACGGAACTAAATTCATTTTTTCCATCGTAGATCTTGATGTAGTCAAAAGGACAATTTTCTTGACCTGAAAGAGATAATGAAAACATAATAATAAGTATTACATACTGTTTGTTATTTCGACTTCAAAAATATAATGCAATAACAGTTCCATAATTTTTTTTTTCTGTATAATTTTTTGTAAAGTACAATAGGCAACACATTTCTGGACAATTTTGGGTTTATTAATGTACAAGATGTTCTCCTAAGCTAGAGCTTATTCACAGATAAGAGTGATAACTCTTTTCACAAAAAAACTGAGATAAATTTTTTTTATAAATTCCATTTTAAATACTACGTAATCATCAAAAGTTCAGATATACTTCAGACGTTTCACTTCAATGAGCATAGTGGGCTCCTCAGAATAAAACGTCATCAATGTTGATGTTCGACGTGTCAAACGCTTCATATAACATAAAAATACTTTATTGTAGACTGAATCACCATATCTATACGCTTTTGGGGTTGCTGATTTCGAATTCAATGTTCGTTAAACCCCATCTGGTCACTGTTCGTTCTTAACCTTAAAAATATTTCAAATCGTTTACTAATACTTTTCTACGATGAGTAATACAGTCTAACCACCACAATGTATGTATTTGGGATCGCTGATGCCAATTCTGATATCCATATAACTTCAACTAGTCACAGTTCGTGTCTAACTTAAAAAAAGTGCAAATTGCTAAGATTACACTTTTCTACGTTTAGGAATGAAGTGTAACCAACATATCTTGTTGTATGTATGTTGTATGTATGTTTTTGGGGTCATTAAATCGAATTTCAGTATCCGTTTGAACTAGTCAGTAGGAACCACTTCACTTCTCGAGACAAGAATGAAACTTTTCACCGAGGTTTGTATACTATTTTATTTACAACCATACCTTTTAAATGTAAGTGACGGTTTTTGTAAAAAAAATAATTAGGTGAGAAATTAACAAAGTAATAACCTTCTATACTCAGATTTCAGATAAAAAACGTTAAGTTTGCATCTTGATGATGGTTACTAAAAAAGTCAAATATACAAACTGAAATTAGTTGCATTTTTGATAGATTGTCATCAAAAAAGTATTTTCGAAAAGTGAGTGATTCAGAAGAAACTATTTGTACTCCTCCTCAACTGAAAGAAGCCGCTGAAAGTTTGGAATGAGATTCGTTACCTAAGAAGAGTCGTGCAAGGTACGATAAAGTTTATAATGTTTTCAAAAGTTGGTGTTCGCAAAAAGGTTTCAGTAAACTGTTTCTGAAACTATTGTGCTGGCATATTTTAGCGAAATTGCCAAAATTAAAAAGCCACTAACCCTTTGGCCCGTTTACTCAATGTTATGTACTACTTTAAATATTACAAATCCAGTCTCTCCAGATTTTAGAAGTTATTGACATTTTCGAACAACAAAATCTAGGATATGTTTCCAAAAAGTCAAGCACTTTCTCCAGTGAGAATATTGCGGTGTTTTTGAAGAATGTATCTGATGATATGTTTTTAGAATTAAGATTCGGTAAAATCACTCGTCAGCCATTTGGCCACAATTTGATAAGTCAATTTAAGTTTCCGCATTATGAAACATACACGGGACACTGCTTCCAAAGAACGACAACCACACTATTGGTAAATAGCGGTGGTGGTATTTTCCCGTTGAAGAGATTAGGCGGATGAAAATCTTCCACCGTAGCGAAAGAGTACGTCAACAAGTCTACAGATTCTCAGATTAAAATTGCCACAAAAATATTTGGTGAAATGCTAAACTCCGGTACTAAAAACGTTACCATTTCTACGCAGGCTGTTCAATTTCTGTTGCCGCTTATAACCAATCGAATGTTAAATTAATTTGTAATAATTAACATGAATAAAATTTGTTGATAATGTTTTAATGTATAATAAGATATTTTTTGAAACAAACATTTTCGTTATTCAATGAATGTTGACATTTAACTGGGTTAAAAGTGGCATTTGTCTGGGTGGAAGGTAATCATTTCCCACCCTGGTAAATGTCACTTTCCATCTGGATATATTATTATGTCAAAGCCAGAATATGTTACATTATATGAAACATTACATATATGGTTGTAAATAAATACATTTTTACAACAGTACGTCATCCGTGAGAAACTTTATTCACTACAGAACTGGCATCTTTTATTCTTTGAGGTTTCCGTCCATTGGACTCTATTTCAAGAACTGGATTTAATTAAACACAATTATTTAGACACAAATATTTGTCTCTAATAAAAAGTCTGTTACTTAAGAAAATATTTTTTACAACTTCACAAGCAAATTAAATTAGTAGTTTGCCACTACTTCCGCATTCTATTTGGAAAGTAAATATTTTCTTGCCAGCGTTCAATATAAAAACGTAATTCTAGCCAATGGTGTCTTTCTTGAGGGATAAACAACTCTAAATTAAAAAATAACAAATACCCTCGCCAAGAAAGATAATTAACACAAAATATTTACGCAACCTAGTAGTTTCTTAAGTATTCCTATTAAGATATAATAACGCAGAACTTAAAAGTTAGATATTGCAAATTAAGAATTAATTGCTGGTTAAAGCAGTAAACTATTTACAATTGTCGTTTTTACAGGTTACGAGAAACTTTTTTTAGTATAAATAAAGATTATGCAGGATATCTCAGGCTTAATCCATCGAACTGAAATAGGTAATAAAGAAAAATTTAAAAAATTGTAATGGTACAGCTTAAAGAATTCTATTAATATAATGCAGGACTCTCAAAAGTATTGTTTAAAACGGATTTTGGGTAATTGGTAGATTCAAATTTGTTACGAACTTTAAGGGTATACAATTTTGGTCTACATACAAAACGTACTTTAAAAATAGTAATTTCTATCGATATGAGTAAGTTCTTACTTTGTTCCAGAGACAGAATTCAAATGATATTTAAGTTATACAAGATATTTAAAATTAAATTATTATTAAATATTCTAGCACTAAAAAGTGAAGACATCTTTACCAATACCGTACGTTCAGCTTAAAATACATTTGAAAAACATGTGATTTTGTACTTTTTGTTTCTTAAGATAAGTTACCTCTTGCTACTTTTTCGACTTTATCTTTACTATGAAGATAAATCAATTGCATTAAGTAGAGTACTTAGTAGTAGTAGTAGAAGTGAATTAGGGCGGAAATTAGGTCAGAAATGAACCCTTTTTGCCTATCCCGCCGTCGCATTACGTATCCACTATCTGTGTTTGACCCTCCTTGAATCTACCTGATGTCCTGATGATTTTGATCCATGGCAGGTCCCTCACCTTAAGTCTTAACCTACCGAAGGCTGCGCAGTGTCCCAGAAGATGGATAGGATATCATCCCTTTCATCACATTTCGGATATAAAAGGTCCTTCTCTATTCCTATTAAGCTTAAATGCCTTCTAAGTCTGCAATGGCCTGTCAGGACCGCCACCATTTGGTTTAGGGCCATTCGACTAAGACTCAGCAGCCATCTCTTAGGTCTTAGGTTTGTTAAGCCCATATACATATAGAGCTATGGGCATGCCTATACCTTTGTTTATCCTCCAGTTTTGACCTAATGCTACCTCATGTGATTCCGAGGATTGGTTTATGTCTCTGACCGGACCTCCTGGATCCAAGACGAGACAGTTGGTCTCGCTCGTTGCCAGGGATACCTATGTGGCCTAGAACCAAAACCAACTCTATCTCTCTTCGTTTGACCAGTAACTCTAGGGCATCTCCACACTCCTGAACAAGGAAGGATATTGTCCTCGGGCAACTAATCGCCTTGAGGGTGGACTGACTGTCGAAGAAGATAAAAATCCTCCCCTCTACACAGTTCCTTACTGGCTCCTCAATTGCTACCATCAAAATAGCGAAAACCTCTACTTGAGAGACTGTGGTATAAATACCCAGTGAAAAACTTTCCTGGATACCACTGTATCCTAGATATATTCCTGGGTAGGGTACTTAAGATCATCATAGATTTAAGGCATTTCTAGTTTGGAAATGTCGGCAAAACGTAAATTGCATTCAAATTTTTAAAATTATTTTGGAGAGAAACGAAAAATGTAAAAACTTGCAACACTCTCCATTATCTCAAAAAATGAAACAACAACTGGCACATGTTTCTAAAAACTTTTAGCCTTATTTTTGGATTATAAATCTTCCTTCGACTGTATATGTTTTGTGGATCACACTGTACATCGAAGGATGAAAGAACACAAATACTTCTATCTGCTGGGTGTGTGTGAAAGAAAGCCCAGAAAGCATATCATATCCTAAATGGCATTAACTAAGATTTAGCTGTTTGAATGTGTATTGAATGTAGACATTGAGTGTGGGTGAGATATAACCTCTCATGTCCAAAATGTCATTGATAGGCAATGCCTACTGGCGGATATCATTGGTTTAAAATGACATGGAGTGACCTACTAATTCATGGGTCCTATGACAGCATGATTGCAATTACCACAATATCATTATTTATAAAATTCCCATCTTTTTTTGCTTTTACGCAAAAAATGTCTAGTTTTAAGCTTGTAAATCAAATAACTTTCATGCCCTTTAAATACTTTAATAAGAATGTATAGTCGTAATAGAAATAAAGGTCTGGTTTTTGAAAATGACGACATTGCAAGAGACAACTACTTCGTGGGCTATCTAGCTACCCCGTCTAGCATTGGATTATATGAACAATATCATTAACTACAGCTAGAATTTCTTTATATTTATTTTATATTTTGTTTTATTATTATTATTTCTAGTCCTGAGGAAGATTTTAAATAAAACCGAAAAGTTGGCTTAGACAGAGAAACAAGACCCTTATTTCCTTGCCCCATTCCAACTTATACAGTCTTCATAATTTTGTAAATTTATTCTAAGACATTGAAAAAACTCCTATTTTTGCATGCTTTTATTAAAAAAAGTGAAACGTCCATATGAATTTAAATTTCTGTTAAATAAACCACTAGACGCATAAGAATTACATCCCTAGCAGGAAAATGAATCTATAAAGAACTTCGAGAACATACTAAACTGAGAATATCATAAACGTTGTAAT